AAATAGATGTGCAGTAACAAACAAGGAAGGAAATGTAGTGGCCAATGCGGAACTAGTGAATAATACATACAAATTATTAACATGCAACAGTGGAAGGGCTATGTCTGTCATAGCTGAAGAGGTACATATGGCACCAACGACTCGGACATCTCAACTTCAATGATTTGAAGAAGATCCCCAATTGTACTCTGGGTGTGAAACTATCTCAAGACAATAAAGATGTGACATGTACTCCATGTCTGCAAGCCAAGCTGACCAGACAACCATTCAAGCATGAAGGTTCCCGAGCATCAAAATTATTGGAGTTAATCCACAGCGATGTATGTGGGCCAATGGAGAACCAGTCTATCGGAGGCGCAAGGTACTTTTTAACATTTATTGACGATTATTCCAAAAAGGTGTTTGTCTATTTTTTTAAGCAAAAATCAGAGGTTTTTGAGAAATTTATAAAATTTAAAAATAAAGCTGAAAATGAATTGGACTGTAAAATTAAAACATTAAGAAGTGACAATGGGACAGAATACAAAAATCATAAGTTTGATAAATGTCTGAAGCATTTTGGTATAAAACATGAGACAAGTACTCCATACACACCTGAACAAAACGGTAAGGAGTATTGGGCAGAAGCCATAGCAACTGCCGCCTACATCGTCAACCGTTCGCCAAATCGATCACTGCCACATGTCACTCCTGAAGAGCGTTGGACTGGATGCAAGCCTGACCTCAGCCACCTGAAAATATTTGGATGCCGAGCAATGGTACATATACCAAAGGAAAAACGTCAGAAATTAGATCCCAAATCTCGTGAGTTGATTTTTATTGGATACAGTGACTGCACCAAAGGTTATCGCTTCATTGACAAGAAAAGTAAACAAGTTGTGATGAGTAGAGATGCAGTATTTCTTGAAAACAGTATAAGCCAGAATCATAATTCTAAAATATTGAATGAAAATGAAAACACACATAAGGCAGAAATAAATCAGAGGAATGATTGTCATGAGTCTAATAGTACACATATTCAAGTTGAACCTGAAAATAATTCTAACAATGCAGAATTGAATAATGAAACAAGATATAATGACTCAGATTCAAGCACATACGAAGACCTGGAAGATGAGAGTTACATACCTTCAGATAGTTTGAGTTCTCCAGAAAGTACATACCATGTAAACCTAAGACCCCGTCGACAAAACCTGCAAGAAAATTTACAACATGAGGATGAAAGTAATGATACAGAACTTAATTCATTCTTATGTTCTAACTCTGAGTCTACCATGAGTCTTTTAGATAATGAGCCACAAAGTCACATTGAAGCACTAAATGGAGAAGATTCTAACCTGTGGAAAATGGCTATGGATACTGAATATCAATCATTACTAGATAATAACACTTGGACAGTAGTAGACTTACCTGCAGGCAAAAAGTTAATACCATGCAAATGGGTTTTCAAAACTAAGCGAAATGATGTTGGAGAAATAGTAAGATACAAAGCTCGTCTTGTCATCAAGGGGTTTAAACAAACAAAAGGTATTGATTATCACGATGTTTATGCTCCTGTGGTCCGCTTGACTTCATTAAGATACTTGTTTGGCTTAGCAACAAAATACAGACTGGAAATCCATCAAATGGATGCTATTACAGCTTTTCTACAGGGAGATGTTGAAGAGGAAATATTCATATCGCCGCCGCCTTGTTATGAAGTCGAAAACAAAGTGTGCAGACTTAACAAAGCTCTGTATGGCTTAAAACAAGCCAGTCGTCAATGGAACAAAAAGCTCAACGCTGCACTATTGGAGATTGGATTGAAAAGATCAATTATGGATCCTTGCATATACTATAGACTTAATAATGAACATGATATTCTTCTTATAGCAGTGTATGTTGACGATTTACTCTGCTTCTTCAATAATGAAAAAACTGCATCATTTGTGAAAGAAAAATTACAAGAAAAATTTCAAATGAAGGATCTTGGCAAGGCTGTACAATGTATTGGGTTGAAAATTTCACAAAGTAAAGATTTAGATGAAATATCTTTGGATCAATCACTTTATATTGAGAAAATCTTACACAGATTTCGAATGTTTGACTGCAAACCAGTACCAACACCATTTGAAGCTGGAACACAATTAAAAAAGGCTGAAAATGAAAGTGAAATTCTACAGAATATTCCCTATCAAGAAGCTGTTGGCTGCCTTCTTTATCTGTTGCAAGGCACACGCCCAGACATAACATATGCGGTGAACACTGCAAGTAGATTCAATAACAGTCCTACAATGCAACACTGGACAGCTGTGAAAAGAATGTTCCGTTATCTCAAAGGAACAATGAACATGAAATTAACTTTCAAAAAGAATGATGAGAACATGGTTGGCTACTGCGACGCCGATTGGGCGAGTGACACTTTAGACAGAAGATCTTGTACTGGATATTTATTTATTTTTCAAGGCGCATGTATAAGCTGGAACTCAAAGAAGCAAACAACAGTTGCCCTCTCCAGCACCGAGGCAGAGTATATGTCTCTGGCTTCTGCTGTGCAGGAAGCACTCTGGCTTCAACAATTGGAAAAGGACATCTGTCAAAATACTTTAGTGGCTTTGACTATGTACTGTGATAATCAAAGTGCCATTAGCATTTCAGGTTCTGATGTCTATCAAGCTCGCAGCAAACACATAGATGTCAGATACCACTTCGTGAAAGAAAAGGTTGCAGCAGGCCAAATACACATGGAGTATCTATGCACTGAAAAGATGGTGGCTGATGTATTGACCAAAGGACTTCCTCGCTGCAAGCACCATGCCTTCACCGCTGCAATGGGTTTGCGTTTAAGGGAGGGTGTTGGAGTAAAACGCAAACCACAGAGCACTGACGCAAACAGCAGCGCCCCCTAGAAGTCTCTCCTCTCTCTGTGCTCTGACGTATCGTTTATCGGTCGAATGATTTGTAATATTAGTTAAAAATAAAAGTCTATTTATCTAAATCAGTGCTTTAATTTATAACAACANTAGCACGGCGTGGCTCCGTAGCGATTCGTAGCAAACAGCCGGGGAAGATGGGTGTTATAATAGTTCTTTGCGGTTTATGTGCTCCTGGTACTTACGATGCTTTGGGTAGNTGTCTAAATCCAAATTGCGAGGGGGACAATATGTTAAAATTATTTAAAAAATCTACTAGTCTACTATTAATAAGTTTTTCCAATATTTTTGAAATTGAAGTTAAGACCGAAATGGGGCGATAGTTGCTGACGCAGCCTTTGTCACCACCCTTGTGCACAGGTGTTACAATTGCTCGTTTAAGCGATGTAGGAAATATGCCAAGTCTAAAGCAAGTATTAGCTAAATGACAAATGATTGGGATTATTAAATTTTGAGATAGTTTCAAAAACTTTGTTGTAATGCCGTCCCACCCCGGAGCGCTATCGGATTTAAGATTCATAAGCACTCTATATATTTCTTCATTGTCAGTATCTATCAGTACAAAGGATGTGCTTTGGGTTTCTGAAAAATCGTTATTTAATCGGGGGGAAGTGTTCGTTACAGTATCTTTTACAGAAAGTGATCGCCGGTGACGACAGTCAACCTCCGCAAAAGACACTGCTGGGTGTTCTTTACTTAATTCATTTGCAAGGTTACTTCCAACCTCTGCAAAGTAGGAATTGACTTCATTTAGCGATTCCAGAATGGTAGGTTTTATGTTAAGTAAATCTGAGTTGCAGGTTTTTTTAGGTTTAAAGGTAGCAATATTGTTGATGGTGTTCCATAATTCTTTTGGATTATTTTTTGATTTGATTAGTTCCTCTCTCTCATAAGTACGCTTTAACTTTTTAATCAGATTATTTATATAGTTTCTGTATCTCCTGTAGCTTATTCTTAATATCTCATTTTCGGGATTCTCACGCAAAGTTTTTTGCATTCTGTTTCTGTTCTTTATACACCTTAGAATGCCATTTGTGATCCAAGGTTTGCAGATTCTCTTACTCCTACTTATCTTAATAGTGTTTGTGTTTGTGTCTATAGATTCTTTTATTACATTAATTAATTTATCGACTATGTTGTTAGGATCTGTGAGTAGCATTATCGATTGTATATCTTTTTCCTCTAATGTTTGTATAGCTCCACTATAATTTACTACTGTTTTAGTTTTTTTATAATTATTTATTATGTTTTTGATGTTTTTAAGATTCATAAGTATTAGATAGTGATCAGTAACGGTTGTTTCAAGAACAGAAATAAAAGCATCTTTTTTATTAGCCTCAAGTTTCAGCATAAAGTGGTCTAAGCAGCTGGATTCCCGTGTGGGTAGGGAATGTCCAGTTGAGATACCATGAAAGGATAGCATATCAAGGTAATTGAGTCTATTTTTACGATCTTGAGATTTTTCCTGTGAATCTGGTGTAAGGTTTATGTTAATATCTCCAGTTATTATGATATTTTTGTGATTAGTCAACGTGTTTAGATATTCATTTAGCGAGTTAATAAAGATTTCTGCATTTGCATTAGATGGGGAACGATATATGCATATAACTGCTATGTCATTTAGTATAATCTGTAAACATGAAGCATGTTGGAGAATGATTTCTTTTGCTTGTACATTATGATGATTTTTTATGTACACAACAACTCCGTCGGCTTGGTTTATGTGGTTACTTGTAGTGAACGATTTGTAGTTTGCGATATTCGGTACAGATTTGTTAGGATTTAGTCTACATTCCGTTAGAACTTGTATGTCGATATCAAAGTCAAGCTGTGTCAGTGATATTTGTAGGTCATCTAAGTTATTGTAAACACTTCTAATATTTTGTGTTATGATTGTTAGGTCAGAATTCTTTTTTGTCATATATTTAGATATATCGTTTATGTCACATTTAACAGTTTTTGCCGTTTCAATCTGGTCTATTTCATGCAAGTTTACGAGTGTACTATTCATTTAGGTTTAGAATGTTAAAATCAGTCGTATTTAGACGTTTAAAAAGTGTTTTAAAAAAGTTAAGGTTGTTTATTTTATTTATAAATCTCAAAACAGTTACAGATTTTAGATATTTGGATGAATTGTTTAAAAAGGTATTGGCATATAAAGCATAGTGTGTTTGTGTGTGAAAAGTTGTGTTTGTGAGTGTGTGATTGTGTGAGTAGTTTAAACGAAATCTGTGAACACTCATTAGTAATGTTAACAATAGTTGAAAGTAAGTACGATAAAAATAAAAACTAGTCATGCCGATTGCAATAGAGTGTGCACCTGTGCTTCATTGTTGATCAGTATTATAGGTGAACTTTCATCTTTTCTGACATAAATCTTTCCGAAGCTGGTCCAGCAGAACTTGTATGATTTCGATTTAGCCAAATCTCTGGCCAAAAAGAATAAGCGGGAGCCTTTCACTGTCAGATGCTCGGAAACAAAGATTGGCTGATCCTCATTACTTGTAGAGCCCATATGTTTCGCACGTAGTTTTTCCTTCCTTTTCGTATTGAACGATTTGCATGTCTTCATGAAGTCGTTTTTTATAAGTGTGGAAGCAGTCTCAACGACTATGGGCGTATTCTTGTTATCTTTTTTACCACTTCTAACCCTGTAAATATCCTTTATATCATTCTTAGTCAAAGTGTAGCCGACGTTTTTGGATAGAGTCAACACCATATTTATTAGAGAAGTTTTATCTTCGTCATTAGTTTTAGGTACGTTTTTTATTTCCAAATGTTGCTTTCTTCTTTCTCTCTGTAGGTCTTCAATTTTATCTTCCAATATTGTTATTTCCTCTCTGTCTTTTTTTGCTTGCACCTCCATTTGGTCAACTTTCTTCTTCAGTTCTTCATTTTGACTTGCAAGAAATGCAAGAGAGTTTTCAATATTTTTATTCGATTGCTGGATTTCATTAAGGGTAGAGGTGATTTTTTTCGTCTCATTCTCTTGCGATGTCATCAGAGATTGAAACATTACTTTAAATTCTTCCCTGAGTGCTTCCACTTCTTCACCGCAGGCACAATCTCTTTTCCTTTTTATAGTAAATCTTTGTCGTGGGTAATTTGTAGGAGTTGTAAGGTCTGTTGTGGTTCCACTTAATAAGCTTATATTGGATTCCGAGGAAGATTTGTCCATTTTTGCTTCGTTGCTGTACCAGGGTTCTATGAATACTCAGAAGGTTCTTGTACTAGTTGCGCGCCAGTAATAATCACGGTCCCAGAATTTGTAGCACTAAGAAATCGTTGTTATTTAGTCGAACAAGATACCAGGATCGCAGAGAGCACCAGGAGATTATATTCATTCGAGGCCCGTAGCAGTGATCGCTCGGGGCGCGTAGCGGCGATGACGTAGAAAGTAGGTGGGGCCTAGTAGCGATTCACTTTTCGTCGTAGCACTATTGTAGCACGGCGTGGCTCCGTAGCGATTCGTAGCAAACAGCCGGGGAAGATGGGTGTTATAATAGTTCTTTGCGGTTTATGTGCTCCTGGTACTTACGATGCTTTGGGTAGCTTCCATGAGTAGCGGGCGCAACCAGGGAGACAGCGGTAGCCACTTACGGAGATGGCAATCGTAGGCGAGACGCCATGTCCTCAGCCGCGCGTGTAACCTCCTCAATATTTATGCACTCCTATTTTTCCATACGAATATTTATCGCGTAAAACTTTAATTTAATTCATTTTAAAGATTCGAATAAACTCATTGAGACGTCTGCTCGCGAACGAGGTCCGAGGGGAAGGGCAAATTTGCAGTTGTTAATTAAAGCAAGGTACAATATTGCAGTTGTTCTACTTCCCTTATTACTAAACTTAATATGAAAACTGCAGCTAGAGTTCGCCCATTATGTATAGTTTACGCCGCCAGACCGCGGGCGGAACTTGAAGTTGAAGCGAAAATACATCGCTGAAGATAGAAAGCTTTCGTGCTTTTGGGTAGAAAGTCACGCCCGATCAAGATGTTCGATTATTAGATAAGTCAAATTGATGAAAAGAAGTTACTTTGTAATAGTTTTCTAGTTTTAGAATAGACCAGGAGTTTTGGAGCAAAGTCGATCCTTAGTTTTGAAGTTCTAGTATTTTCGTCTGATTGTTTTAGTTGCGGGTCGAATAACAGTTTTATTTCCTTCTGTCTGGTTCTAACATAGCCTTGACCGTTTCCCCTTATTGCAAAAAGTTAGACTCTGTTGAACTCTAGTTTACACTGACATTTAGTATGAAAATGAAACTTTGAACCAGTATTCATTCCGCGTTTAACATTTTTGTGATAAGGCCCTTTGGGTTTAAAGCAAAAATGATGTATGTAATTTGGCTCTCCAGACAGAATGGGATGGGATGGAATCGAGAGGCATGGATTAACCTGTTCCAATTAGAAAGTTTTATGTGCTTCGAGGGGAGGTGCGCTTTAAATTTAATCCATCGGTCAGCAATAACTTATCGTGAAATCTTCTTCAAATTCACACTATAATATGGTAGAGTACATGTCTGTAGTATCTAACACCACGTTAATTTTACATTATCTAGCATCATTCCTGAGTTACCGACAAAAATCGTTTAAGTTCACGATTTATCGCTATACCTACAGCCGGATAATGGAAAGGTCGTTGCGCAAAGATTTAACGAACACTCCAAGAGGGTTTGCAACCTTTTTAGCGTAGTCTGTGCCGGTAAACCTAAATATTAAATTATACCGCAGTCTCCGTTTAAGTAATGTGCATGTGAGCTGGCTGGCACGCTGCAAATTGGTGTATATTGTTCTGCAAACTTTCTTTACGCTTATGAAATTTAAGCACGTTTTTTGAGCATAGTGAAGGCCAATCCAGGTTTTTATAGGCTTGGTCTTGATTATAAGATGAGGGTTGAAGATTCGATTTATGGTAGAGAGAGCATACCCAGAAGATACCTGTTCACTCGCCCTGAAGGCAGGGAGAAGGGTCGTATGATTTTGGGAACACAGAGGCTGGACAGGCAGGGTATTCCTTGGCAGTTTAGTGTACGCTTTAAAAGATGTAGCGTTGTGCTTAGCAGGCAGGAGATAGTTTACCATGTAGTGGTGTTAGTGTGGTCGTGATTTATATTTTCACTCAAGGAACAGACGACGATATCTTGGCTTAGAATATTTTTTTGGTAATTGACTTTGTAGAGCCCCCCAAAAAGTATCTCATTGCCCAGTATCAGTATATCCCACGGTAGGTGCCATCGCAGGCTATTGATCGCGCCCCAAGGCTGGCCCGCAAGGCCACGGCCACATAATTCGATATCGCCTAAACCTATCTGGTACGTGCCTAAAACTAGTCTAGAACTAAATCCGTCCGAACCTATTTGAATAGATATTGATGGAAAGTAACGGAGCAGAAAATTAAGAACAACGTGTGAATATTAATATTTTGGAGCATATTACTTAAGCAGGAAAACAAAAGTACCAACCCACAAAGAAATACTTCATTTGCCTTTAATAAACTAAAGAGGGAGGGTCATGTTCCTGCAGTGGAGAATAGATGAGATGATGGATGATGGAACCAGTAGTTGTATACTTTCATCATCATCATCATCATCTCAGCCATAGGACGCTCACTGCTGAACATAGGCCTCCCCCAATGCTTTCCATGTTGTCCGGTTGGTAGCGGCCTGCGTCCAGCGCCTTCCTGATACCTTTATGATGTCGTTGGTCCACCTTGTAGGTGAACGTCCTGCGCTGCGTTTTCCGGTACGCGGCCTCCACTCCAGAACCTTGCCACACCATCGGCCGTCAGTTCTGCGTACTATGTGCCCTGCGCATTGCCACTTCAGCTTGCTAATCCGTCGGGCTATGTCAGCGACTTTAGTTCGTTTATTTAGTTGTTTACTTTACTATGTTTCAAGTACATGGTATCGACATCTCGCTTGAAGTTGAATAAATGTTATTTAGCAACAGAAATGTGTTGTAAACTGTTAAAAAAAAGATACACAAAAGAAGATCGGGCTTAAAAAGCCTAGTGTACCATTGTTGGCAGCCAACTGAAGGGCGGAGGATGAGACCCATTGAAACGCCCAATTGGCCACCTCGCATCTGTTTCCGAATGACCCAATTCAACAAAGATTCCCGGTCCTCAAACTCCTGAGACGGCGATTAAGGCAATCTGTGATAAACTCAAACTGGAATTTTATTATCAATTTAAAGTGCGATTATAAAGCATTAACGTTCGTTTGTGGTTGAGTTTGAAAGATAATGAAAGTAATTGTATTCTTTGATGACGTAACTGAATTAGAAAATTTACCTCTTGTCCTTATTAAGGAAAAGAAACGGCTGACTAAACTAATATTTGGCATTAAGTAAACATAAAGAGACTACCTATAAATTATTATAGTCAATGACATCATTAATAATACTTCAAGTTAATTGTCATAATGCTTTCTTTATTTTTACTAATTCTTTAAGCAAAGAAGTTGCCCTTAGTCCCTTATGCGTTTGTCATCAATAAGGTTTAAAGCATGCCACACAATCTTGTATACGAGTAATTCATGGTATAGCTCACCCGGGGCTTACTAAAGATGCTAAAGACCCTTACAACAATACAGTCATTACCGGTAATGAGGGTAGAGGGGAAGGGACGGTAATATCTCGGTATTCTCAGTAGATATTGGGTAGTGATGTTCCTTTTCACAACTAGGAGTAACCGGTTACGGAAAATGCTTTCACAAGTTATCCACAAATCTGGAAATTCCAGGAATCCTCGTTATGAACTATGAGCGTATGTCGGCGAATTAGTAAATGTACCTATAGGATTATGAGGTACACTACCTCTGCGAGTTACCGAGTGCTTACACTGATTTTCTAGAGTGGCCTCTACATCACTGTCTATTTAGTCTAAGATCCCGCTATACAACGACCTTCACCGAGATGCTTATTTGATGAAACATATTTTATATTCAATTTAACATGTCAATAATTATATTGCTTTAGGGTTGCCTAATAAATATCAGTCCAGGATATGATTAATTAATCATTAAAAAAAGATTTTTTTTTAAATATTTCATCGGTTTGACTATTAAACAAACTCCATACCAATCGAAAGTATGAAGCCCATAGAATATGCAAACGTTAGGTTGCCTATTCTTTTCCAGTCATAACTCTCGGGTTGCCAGGTATAAACAGGTAAATTGATAGAGCATTTTGCACCGGTCTGATAATTTGATCAAATGGNCACGGTCGCCTTGAAGTAATCGTTTATGAAGTTTAGTTCCAGGACCACAATATTGATACCCAGGTAAATGTAACTCAAACGGTAAATGATCTATCAAGGTATTAATTATACCACTGCCTTCCGTCATCAAAATTCAAAATTATTTATTTGCGTAAAACATGGTACATTTCAGTTATTATCTTGTTACGAGAACAACATGTTTCATCGACATAGCAATATGCAAACATTTAGTCGTCATGCAGTATTATTATTAAATTATTAATAGTCATTATTAATATTACATGATCTACCTCCAATAGAATTTAAATGTCAAAAATATTTATTACAATGCAATAACAATATCAATTAAAACAATTAGGCAATTCAGGTAAGGATTAAAATTTAGGATGTCACATAAATTATAATAAATGTGGGATCTTGTGAACGAAATATGAACACTTGATTTTGGAAAATATCGTCTTTTATTTGAAAAACCACACGCTCGTCTTTGCAGTAAAAATCAGAGTCTCGCCATCTTAGATTATTTGAATTTATATCCATTCATTCCANTTATTACATTATTTTGTAATCAAAAAACAAGGATTGGTCGATGGCCGCGCGAAAAAAAAAAGACGCCAATTTCCGGCATTGTCTTTTAAATAAAAATAAAGATTATTTCATTATGAACACGGTGGTATAGGGTTGCCTGCGAAAAATCAGTCCTGAATGACGGTTGTCGAATTTTGTAAAGTGAAAATAAAACGGAAAGGTGACATTTTTAGAGTAGTTGGCAACATTTGGGAAAGACGAGTTGTATGAGGCGTTTGTGTGTCTTGTCAAGAGGTGTCGCTTGGGTGAAGAAATTCCTCCAGTGTTGCCATGCTTTGGGAGATTTGGTCCAAAAATGTCGAAAGTGGAAATAACGACTTCCGGTCAAAAATTTGGATGACGCTTCCTGCAAAAGGGTCGTACAAATGACATTTGACCATTTTCATCTCGATCACCTGGCAACACTGGCAGCTACGGGGAAAAGTATTTTTTTCGACATGGGTGTCTTTAAAGTTAAGGACGGACAGAAGGAGATATGGCAGAAAAAATCCAAAAATGGGGTTTGGTCGGTTATACGACCCAAATTAAGGGAAAAATCCGAAAATTCAGAAAATCAAGATGGCGACCGAGTGAGCGGCCATTTTGTTAAAAGTTTCAGATTTCTGATTTTTCAAATGCATTTTTTGGGCAGTTGGCTACATTTGGGAAAGTCGAGTTGTATAGAGCGATTACGTAGTTTGCTGAGGAGTATCGTTTGGAAAAACAACATTTTCCAGTGTTGCCATACTTATTGCATTTTTCGCTTAATCTAGACCATTTTCCGCGCCAAAACCCATTTTTACTTTTTTTCTAACTTAAACCAATCCCGTGAAACAATTCCTTAAAACCACCCAAGTCCCAAAATTTTGTGGCCCCGTAACTGCCAGTGTTGCCAGGTAATCGAGATAAAAATAGCCAAATGTCATTAGTTTGACCTATTTGCAGGAGTCGTCATCCAAATTTTGGACCAA